CATGGGGACAGGAGCAAACGGAGTTGAGAAGAGGAATCTGAAGAGATGGGCTGTAGTCAGTTAGTAGGAAGCTTTGAGCACCGTGAAAAAGAATCAGAACTTTATTTTTGAGACAGTGGTAGCTTTTAAATATGCCTGAACATGATAGGAAAATAAAAGAAAGCTCCATTTGACAAAATAATACTGGTGTCCTTTGAAATATACGCAACATTTTGAGGCAGGAGGCCTTGAGGTAAAGTAAATAACAGTAAAAAAGAATTTTAAAAAATAGTTCCCCTAATGGTGCCGTATATTAGTCACATGTCTAAGTAAATTTATGCAATATTAAGTCTGCCCAGGCACCATAGCATAGTAAAACACCCCTTTAGAAGATCTAACCATTCATGATTGAAGTGATTTTCAAATGCCATTGCTTAGCTGAACAGTGACAGAGAGAATGCATATTCTTCCCGTTTTCAGAAACTTTGATTAAACCACAGATATTAACGGAACATTAAACCAATATATTATTGTAAGAACTTACACTAAAATGTCAAGTACCATCACCAAAGGACACAAGAGTGGTGCTTTTTTCTCTCTGTTGTTCTTAGCTTCCCATAAAACTAGAATTGCACTCATTAAGTGTGCCTCATTTAAGTTTCTATGTGTCACCAAAAGGCTATTAATTCTTGCAACTGACTGAGTTGGAGTCTTTGTAAGATTCCCATAAATGTATCTTTTAATAAAAAATAGGTGAGCCACTAAGTAAGTTTTAAACTTTGAGGGTAAAATTTTATAACATTTTAACAAATAAAACAAGCCTCTCAAAGTGTAGGCACTCTCCCCCCGCCATAGAAAAATGTATTGCCACATTAGGATTTCACATGTTTGACTGAGTAAAAATCTAATTAGTTACTCTTCTAATTCTGGTTTCATAATATTATTTTTAATTGTGATGTAAGAACTATAGAATTATAAAGATACCATCCTGTTAAACTGAAAGCTGTGCATTTAGGATTGGACATGTTTGCAATACAACCATAATACAAAGCTAGAACACAGCACTGGGACTCACTGATTATGATACACTAAAGAAGTGGTTCTCAACCGCGAGTGAGTTTGCCCCTCCCAGGAGGTATTTGGCAATACAAGGGATGATTGTCATGACGGCGCATACTGTTGCCACCAGAATGCTACCAAACATTCTCCTCTGCATAGGACAGCCCCTTGCAACAGAATGATCTGGTCCAAAATGTCAACTGTGCTGCACTTGAGAAACCTTGTACTAAAGGATCCCACTAACATTTCCATTATTTTTCTTGGCATACATGGAAATCGCTACACTTAGATGCAATACAATAAATATTTGAAATTATTTTTTAAATTTCACCTAAAAACTACCCACATCACTCATGAACAAACAAAAACTTACTATAAGACATATACATTTCCTTATTGACATATTATCTGCTTGTTCCACTAAAATTTAGGATCCATATGAACAGGGATTTTGTCTTGTGTGTATTGGCTGAATGAGTGAATGAACGAACGAATGAATGAATATCATCTCCCAAAGAGCACAGTCATTACAAAATCACAAACTTCTTTTATTTTCACACTCGTGATAGAAGACAACAGGACTCATTCTGTTAGAAACTATTCATGTTCACTCATTCTCTACTAAGTCTTCCATGATCTACCCCTGCCACCTTTCTAGCTTTCCCTCACATCGTGCCCCTCTGGCTCTCCAGCAACACTGGCCTGGGTTCAGTTCCCAGTAAATGCTATGTTCCCTACTACCTTAGGTCCTCCCAGAACACTCTCCTCCATGTTCCCAACCTCTTCAGATTTCTTCAGGGAAGTCTTCCCAGAATGATCTGGTCCAAAATGTCAACTGTGCTGCACTTGAGAAACCCTGTACTAAAGGATCCCACTAACATTTCCATTATTTTTCTTGGCATACATGGAAAGAATCCCTTTGATTCATGCAATCCGGATATCAGAAATAAAGAAGTTCCCGAAGACTGAAACAGATAATTATTATGCCTCCCTTGGCTCTAATGAACTAGCCTCTGATTTTTGCAAGCAAGACCTGAAGGTGACTCTCACAGGTGCCCTGGTTTATTTGCACCAATGGTGATACTTTATATGCAGATATGGAAACACTGCCAATCATTTAACACAGTGCCTTTTATAAAGCAAGTACTGGGTACATATTTATTGGATGAATAAATGAATTATGTTTCTAGGAACATTATGTTACCGAATATACAAGTCCAGGATAGACTATATCATTCTCCACTAGGGCTCAAATTGGTAGGTGCTTAATCAACACTCTTTGGTTAATTGGAATCATTTATCTACTGTCATTAAACTATCTGCTCCTAAGTCTACAGACACTAAGTCTACATGTTGCAAAATTGCTAGAAATCGATTGCTCTCTTTCTATTCTTTTTTTCCTACATACTAATAAAAAAGCAGCTTGGTTTTTTTTTTTTTCACTGAATTTATTAGCTATTTTGACATTCAGAACATGACTGTGTGGAAAATGGTTGTCGGGAAACCAATTATTGGATGATCAGTATTTGCCTCTATTTGAAAACATCTGGAAGCATACTTTAATTATCCCCTAGATATTTGGTGTCTTGTGTTCTCAGCCTCTGAGATTATCTCTCCTCATTACCGTTCTTGAATTAAAGATATTCTGTTGACACAATAAGTGGTTGTTTTTGTTTTTGTTTTTATTTTTGATAGAGAAGAATTTATAGGACATTGAAAATAAAGAGTAGTGAGCTCCCAGGCTAAAAGGATTAAAATAATATTTTTTAAGAGGAGAAGGAAAGGGGTTTTTAGTGCAGAAAACTATAGAAAAATATAATTCCATGTAACATCATGTAACTGAGAAGCTAGTTACATAGGAAGCCTTGGGGAAGATATGGATTTCTTGAGGATCCAGACAAAATGACTCTAGCCTAAAGGAGCTAAAGAGAGATACCCAGGTGACAGGAAGTCAGAAATAATTGTAAACCTGGGGTCTATTCATATACTTCACCTTAAAATAGTTTCTTTACATATATCTTTCCTATCTATTGCTATCAGGATCTCTGTCACTAGGTAAGAGTATCTGAAATTCTTGAACAAAATTCCAGAAAGCACAGGAAATGGGGCAGTATTTGCCAACATCGGCCATCCATTTGGAAAGCCCCAGTTAGGAGGTTTAGTCTGTTACAGAGGTCACCCTCATCCCTGCCATGCCCACTCTTCTCTCAAGACAACAGTCACTGACCAGGAAGTGGCTCCTTCACTCCCTCAAGAGCTTTCCTGTCAATTTCTCATCCAAATTGTGTTCTTTTGGATCTGGAAGATGCCTTGAATGTGCAGCATGAACTCCTGCAGCCTAGCCTCTCTTTGCTCCACATAAACCAGAGATGTAGAGCGTAGCTGGGGCTCACTCACACAGAGAATCTACAGTAAGAACCTGTCCCTGAGATCACGGAAGAGAGACCTGCATGCTTGAGGAGGGGCAGGGATACCAGAAGCTAATAGCAGACATGTTGATTCTCTGCACCTCCATGTCAAGGGGAATAGTTTTTACATTGAATCATACTCATGTTTTCTTGTCTTTTGGGCAAGAACACACATTTTCCTATTTAGTTTGATGTCAGAAAGATCCGAGGAACTAATGCAATGGCTACTATCATGTTTATGGTTGTGATGATCCTAAGTACTTCAATCAGATTATCACAAGAAGAAAGAGCCTCTAGGGCTGCCTGATCACTACCAACTTAAATGCACAATTCTCTCTTGGCCTCCAGGAGAAATGTATTGGAGTTGAGACTCAGTTCTCAACGATATGAAGAAAAAAAAAATTAGAGCTTGCTTAGCATGACCTCAAATATTTTATAACTGTCCTATGTATCTCATTAAAAGCACTGGCCTGTCAGATTTGGAATACAGACTTTTCACTTTCACTTTCTTGTTACATCCAGATAAGCCATGTTGTTCATCTAATACCTAAACCATAGAGACTTACTGGCGATGAAGAAAGTGGGATGAGAAAGAGATGAGTACACTTAAATTTCATTTTACATCAACTTATTTCCCTTCCCTGCAACATCAGGAAAATACAAAATAAGGTTTTGTTCTTACCCACATTTATTTTATTTTTGCCATTTGTTCTTCATTTAAAACTATCTGGTCAAGTAAACATTAGATTAATATTGATGCCTTGTTTACAAATAGCCACAAAAAAGTATAACCAGGGCCTAAGCCATATTATTACCTTGCTTATGAATCTTATCTGGCCCTCATCTGGGGCCATTAGCATATCTTGAAAAATTTCCAAGAACTTCATATACCAGTAGATTTCCCTTCCTGAAAAGCCAATTTCCTAAATATTCAATGAGATGGCTTTTGAGACCCACATCACAAATTAGGAAAGTAATAATGTTCCTATCTTGACAGGAAATCCACTATTGCGGGTGGTGCCGCCCTAATTATACCATAATAGAATTTCAAAAGAATTGTTTCTGAATTTAAAAAAAAAAATCCCATCTACTTGCTGCACAATATCCTCTTCAATTTTCCATACCAAAAGAGTAGGTTTAGAAAGGAAGGAAGGGCACATACATACTGCTTTTTTTTTTTTCGAGGAAGAAAGTCAGGTTTTTACTTCGTGATCATGTCTCCTGTTTGTTTTTTTTTAAAGTAAATTTCTTACACTTAAATAAGGTTTCCATTTAATCAGAGTCACCACAGAATAGATTTTTTAAAAAACGAGAATGTACCATAATTTTCTTGTCAGTAACACACAAATTCATCAAGAGTTAAAGTAGAAATAGATACTTGTGACCAAGGTTTAGTGGCAAATTAATAAGCTAGCATTTGTTATTTGCCAGATAGCAAACATATAAACACACAATAACCTAACTGAGATGCAACATTTTTGCATTCTGAATCATAACTTAATAATAATCACAATTTAAAACCCAGACATTCAAGAGGTTAAAAGGGGAACTCACAATATGCAGTCAGGCAGCACCCCGGATCACAGACCTTCCACGGTATAACGACAGATTTTATCACCAGTGGTTCTATGGCCCTGCAACCGAGATCACTCATAATTAATGAACATTTTACTTGAATATTTGACAGCTCAGTAAGCAGTTTATATAAGGCCGTTACTTTTATTTCTTCTGTAGTTGCCTTTGCAAACAGGAAACAGGAAACACCTAGAAGAACACTGACATATTTCAGCCTAATTGGTCTTTGGCTCAAAGTACCCAGGAGCGAGTCTTGTATTACAGGGGTGATAAGTACAGTCCCCAAAAGAATGGGACTCAGGTCCTAACATTTCACAGTTTAAAATCCTCTGGATAGATGCTACGCAGGCCATTTATTACAGAAAGAAACAGGCCTTCTTAGTAACATTCAGGCCTTATGGCCTTAATCCTGGAAGGACTATAAACCTCAGACTAAACTCATATATATACAATACATATATGTATGAATACATATCATATATAATATACATATATATATATACCTATATAAGCAATGTATTATTTAAAATAACATATATATTTTTTCCAGGAACATATATGGAAACTATCATTCAGGAATCTTTTGGCTACAAATAACAGAAACCCCAACTCAAACTCTCTTATTCAAATAAATAACAAAACAAGGAAATATTTTGGTTCATTGAGCTCGGGAAAAAAATGTCCAGATGCAGGGCTGGTTTTGGAAAAACAGATGTTCACTACATCATTTGATTCTCTGCAATTTCCTTGGCACAGGTATTCTCTGCAGATTGATTTCGACTCCAGGCTGCCTCCCCTTGTTGCAAAAAATGCTCGCTGTAGCAGTTCAAGGCTACATATGTATCTTCCAAGAAGATAGTGTTAGCACTCTGGCAGTCCCAGGTTCTGAGGTCATTCAGATTACCCATCACTGAATCAGTCACTATACTTTGCTGAATCGCTTTAAACTAATCAAGGCTTATCCCTGGAGGTGAGGGTAGGTCATTCAGGATATTGAAAGGAAGGGAAAAGAGATGATAGTGCAGAAAATCAACACATGTCCACCACAGCGTCTGACAATAATCTGAAGATAGGCATTTGAGGATGCATATTCATGAATACACAAGTTCTTGAACTATTTAAAGATCTCAGCAAAAGAATGAGCTGAGGTTCAAGAGATACTGATTACCCAAATCTTTACATTCAGTTGGACTTTCTGTTAACATTGGATTTGCTCTCTGAGAAAATAGGTCAGAATATTTCCACTAGGGGCACCTGGGTTGCTTCAGTCGGTTAAGCCTCTGCCTTCAGCTCAGATCATGATCGCAGGGTTCTGGGATCAAGCCCTGCATTGGGCTCCCTGCTCAGTGGGGAGCCTGCTTCTCCCTCTCCCTCTGCCCCTCCTCCCTACTTGTGTTCTCTCTCTCTTTCTCTCACTCTCAAATAAAGAAATTAATTAAATAAATCTTTTTTAAAAAGAGATGATTTCCACTGTGTTTATGAAATACATTTTATAGTGTATGAAGTGCCCTTGCATTTGATCTTCCATTTTGACATCCAAACAACCCTGCGGGGGGGGGGGGGGGCGGGGCGGTGAGAGGACAGGCATTTCCACTGGAAGCTTAGAGGGTGGGGCAGACACTGCTGGTTACCTACCCAATTCCCAGTCTACTTTTTTTCCTTACGGAACCTTGATTTTGTTCAGGGCAGCAATTTACCCTGTAAAAACTACAGCTGAGGATGGGCAGGTGAAATAGTTTGGGCGCTGGCCATGTAACCTTAAGTAAGTACAGAGGGCTCCTGGAAAAGCTCTTTAAAAGAACTCTCCACTCTCCACACTTTTTGATCTTTGCCCTTCCTCTTCTTCATGCCTGAAACATTGATACACTGCCAGAGATAAAGACATATCTTGCAGTCATGAAGTGACAAGCACAAAGACAAAAGCCACATGCCATGAAGAATCAACTGAAAAAAAGGAGCCACTACACTGGGCCTGGTTTGCCTGCTCCCAGGCTGTTACATGAGGAAAAAGAAAAAGAAAAAAAGGCCTTTATTTGGCTAAGCTACTGTAGAAGGATTCTTGTTACATGCAGCTGAACATACTTTGGATACGAGGCGGTTTCGCAACCACGTAATGACAGATCAAGGCTTAATTCCGGGGCTCCTGACTCCTTGTCCTGCGATATTTCCAATAAACTGCAGTGCTTCTCCAAAAGCAGAATCTGTCCTCCGCATACCATACAAACAGGCATTTTAAATTTATGCTTTCTTTCTCAACAAATAGCTTATTTATATGATCTGAGTCATAGTTCAAATGGTGAGAAGAGATTCATTGCTTTTGTTTTTGGTTTCTTTAGCTTTTTAACATGCGACACTCAAGCACTTGTGCAACTGCTAAGACACGAATGCCTTGGGTACCATAAAGGAAGCCCATCATTTGACCAAAATTTCTTTCAAAGCTGCCTAAGGAAGAATTGGCCATCTTCCCAAATCTTGCCATGGTTGACATTTCTTCCTGGACCTTCTCATTCACTCAGGTATTAAAAAACCAAAGAGGAGTTTTGTTGTCTGGGTCCACACATAAGGAGCTTGGAAATCACCACTCTGTCCCAACAACAGGTAGAATCCAATAACTCTTCTTGGATCTGTAAGAGAGGGAAGGACACAGGGCAAACCACTGCCCCAAGATTGGAAAGAGTAGCAGAGGAAGACAGGGAGTCTTGGCTTCCCTGAGCAGGGACTTACCAGCAGAAAGTGCCATAGGAAGCAGTGTGAATTGTCATTTATGAATTGCTGCAATCTCTGTGGAGACAACTGAAGTGCTAGGGGGACCCAGTCAATAAAAAGGGGGGGCCCTCATGATACTATGAGAATTACTTCCAGGACATCTATCAGATTCCCATAGTCAATATCAGAGAGAAACCTCCTCCAGCTTCCAGAATGCAAAGGGACAAAGGAACCATTTTGAAATATGCCAGAGCACTCTACTCTTAACAAGGCCTGCCCTCAGAGTAAATTGGTTAACTAGAGCTTAACCTGCAGGAGCATTATGAAGATGTAACTGACCTGGGGAAAGGAAATACTGGATCCAGTCTCCTCCAGCCTTCCACTGTGGGAGAAGGGAAATACTCAACTGCAGCCCATGCTAGCCATCCTGAGAAAAGGGGGAGAAAAAAACTAGAACACTGTGAAGGTCTCAGTCCAGAGACACAGGCTCCCTAAAAGACTGAGACCTAATCATAGGATGTGCAGAGCACCTCCTCTCCCTGAAAACCTGACCACCACACTACTAAAGATCTATTTATAGCAGTTCCTATCACCTGATACATCGTGTCTGGCTATCAGGAAAAAATTACAAGGCATACCAAGAGGAAAAAAAATCACAATTTGAAGACAGCAAGCATCAGTACGAGTCAAGGCCGGGAAGATGGAATTAAAAGACAACAGAGCCCTCACAAAGGTTGGAATAATTCACTGAGCCAAATATCAAGGAGGAGCCACACCCAAAGATCAATTCCAGAGGGATTAAGGGCTCAGTTGTGAAAAAGCAAAATGTTAAAACTTGTAGAAGAAAACATGGGAGACCATATTTTGGATCTCCAAATGGGAAAGGAGTTCTCAAGGCACAAAAGTGCTAATCACAGAAGGAAAGACTGATAAAATTGCCGTATTATAATATTAAGATCTTTGTTTATAAAAATGTATAATAGAGCAGAAGACATGCCAACATCTGAGACAAGTTTGCAACAAGTAAAATCAACAAAAGACCAGTATTCAGATTATATAAAGATATGTTACAAATCAGAAAGAAAAAGACAACACAATAAAAAAAATGAGCAACAGATCTGACACATTGTCACAGAGGAGAAAAACAAAAATGGTAAATGTACATATAAAAAGATGAGCAAGCTCATTTGTAATCAGGAAAATGCAAATTAAACTGATGGTGGGCGCAGAAGTTGATAGAAGCACTTGCACACAATTTAACCTTAACTCATGAAGTTGAATGTTTATATGCACTCCAACTGAGTAAACCCACTCTCACATATATTCTCTAGAGAAATTCTTATATATTGGCCCTGGAAAACATGCACAAAATGTTTATAACAGCTTTCTTAAAAACAACAAAAAGCAATATTTAACACAAATGTCCATCAGTCAGTAAGCATTTCAATAAACTGAGCTATATACATACAATGAACTATTAGACAACAAGGACAATCAATAAATCCGAGCTACAGGCAACAACTTGGGTGAACTTTAACGGCATAATGAATGAAAAAAAGCAATTATGAGGTAACTACCTACAGACAGTGACTTTTTTTTTATAAATAAGAGCCAAGAATAGCAAATACAAACAATATTTTTGTTTAGATAAGCCCATATGTGATACATTTTTTTACAGTGACATATCATTTTGTCACATGTGAAGATTTGTGTAACCAGTACTGCAGTCAAGACACAGAACTATTTATCACCACACAGAATTCCATCCTACTCCCATTTTACAGGCACACCCATCCCCTCTGTTCCCATCCCTTATCCCTGGAAACCACTAATCTGTTCTCCATCTTTAGAATTTTGTCATTTCTAGAATGTCAAGAAGTGAAATCATATAATATATGTGACCTTTTGATATTTAGAGGTCATATAATATGTGACCTTTTGATATTGTCCTTTTGATATGTGGCCTTTTGATATTTAGCGGTCATATAATATGTGACCTTTGATTTTTTTTTTTAACTGAGCATAATGTCCTTGAGATCCAAGGCATTGCTTGCACCCACGTGGTTGCCTGTATCAATAGTTTGCTCCCTTTAATGGCTGAATAGTATCTCATGGTTTGGATGTACCATGGTTCGTTTAACCACTCACCTAGTGTCGGGCATGTTGGTTGTTTTTGGGTTTTGGCTTATTGCAAATAAAGCTGGTAGGAAAAACTGTCTATAGGTTTTTGTGTGGATGTAAGTTATTTCTCTGGGATAAATGCCCAGGATAGTGATTGCCGGGTCAGATGATTCAGTTTATGTTTAGTTTTTAAGAAACTACCAAGCTATTTTCCAGAGTGGTGGTACCATTT